CTTCCCCGAAGCTGTGGAATAGAACAGTTCCGCCAGCACCCCTGGGAACTCAGGAGCAGGCTCAGCTGGAGGAACAGGCAGTTGCGGAGCCTGCACTTCAACCTCCCACCTCAGGGCCTGGCAGGACCACCACGAGGAACTTGCCTCCTAGCGTGTTTAAAATCAGCTATAATGTTCGGCTCCCAATAGTGCGTGTGTTTTCTTTGTAGAATTTAACACTTTAGGGATTTGTAAGTCGGAAGGAGAAATATCAGCCCTGTAAGGGTGGAGAGTCAGGGAAGCAAACAGCCAAGATTCCCCAAATATGGGTGTCACATACAATGGTGGTGCTGCATGCAAGAGAGGCAGGGGCAAGGGCTCTGAGTACCTGCTGTCAACAACGAAACATGGGTCCCCTCGAAAAGCACCAGCATCAAGACACTGCAGTGACTTTTTGTTCACCACTGGGTGACCTCTGCACCCACTTCTAGCCATCTTTCCATCAGTAAACACTGAGCACCAACTATGTGTCAGGCACAGTGCTGGGCCCTGGGACACGGAGGTGAACAGATGACGTCCCTGCCTCGGGCAGCTCACAGCCTACTTGGGAGCCAGCTCTGTGCCCCTGCACACAACACCCAGCATGGAGCAATGGGAGAGATGTGCCTAGGTGTGACGGTGGCACAGCAAGGAGAGTCCCAGGAAGGATTCCAGAGGGGGTGACATCTGAGCAAGAATCGAAGTGGGAAGAGTCAGAAGGAAACGGGGAGGGGCACGGAGCAAGCAAACCAGTGAGCAGACAGGCAAGGTCAGGAGGTGGGAACAGCCAGGCCTGGCCAAAAGTTCGGTGTTGCGAGTTTGGTTGGGGAGGTAGCAAGGAACCAGATCAAAGAACACCTCCTACGGCATCCGATGAGCTAGACTTACTCTTCCGGGTGAGCACTTCTCAACCCTGGCTGCAGGGTACAGTCCTCTGAGGACTGTATTTTGTTGTTGTTGTTGTTGCCAGTTTATAAAATCAACATCTCTAGAATGGGCAGCTCAGAAGTTCACCTCTGATACTGCAGAGTTAAAGCCTGCTGACCTGCAGGCTTATTTTAAAATATACACATACATGTATCCTCATATCACATTTATGTGCCTAGGCTACACCCCACGTCACTTTCATGAGACTTTCCATGGTGGATTCCGTGCAGAGATGTTCTGTAAGCCTCCAGGTGATTCCAGTGTGCGGTGGTGCACTTGGCCTGAGGGAGAGGATGGGAAGGCTGGTGACAGAAAGACCAGGACGGCTGGGGGGAGGTGGCTCACACCTGTAATCCCAGCACTTTGGGAGGCCAAGGTGGGCGGATCACCTGAGGTCAGGAAATCAAGACCAGCTGGCCAACATGGTGAAACTCTATCTTTGCTAAATATACAAAAATTAGCTGAGTGTGGTGGCACATGCCTGTAGTCCCAGCTACTCGGGAGCCTGAGGCAGGAGGATCACTTGAACCCAGGAGGCGGAGGTTGCAGTGAGCCGAGATCGTGCCACTGCACTCCAGCCTGGGTGATAGAGTGAGACTTTGTCTCAAAAAAAGAAAAGAAAGAAAGAAAGACCGGAGAGGAGAGCTCTCCATCTGCTAGGCTGCCATAACAAAGATCCATAGGCTGGGTGACTTAGAAATTTTCTCATAGTCCTAGAGGCTGGAAGTTCCTGATGAAAGGTGTTGGAAGGCTTGGTTTCTTCTGAGACCCCCCTCCTTGGCTTGCAGATGGCCGTCATTTTCTGCATCCTCACGTGGTCATCCCTCTGGGTTGCCTGTGCCCTAATCTCACCTTGTTGTTGTTGTTTGAGACTGAGTCTTGCCCAGGCTGGAGTGCAGTGGCATGATCTCGGCTCACTACAGCCTCCACCTCCTGGGTTCAAGCGACTCTCGTGCCTCAGCCTCCTGAGCAGCTGGGATGACAGATGCGTACCACCATGCCTGACTAGTTTTTGTAGTTTTAGTAGAGATGGGGTCTCACTATGTTGCCCAGACTGGTCTTAAACTCCTGGCCTCAAGTGATCTGCCAGCCTCGTCCTCCCAAAGTGCTGGGATTACAGGAGTGGTCCACCATACCTGGCCTCTAATCTCTTTTTATAGGGACATCAGTCCTACTGGATTAGAGGTCCACCCTAACAGCCTCATTTTAACTTAATGAACTCTTTAGAAATCTGATTTCCGAGTATGGTTCCATTTTGAGGAATTGGAACCTTAACCTACGGATTTTGGCAGGACACAATTCAGCCCATCCACTGTTGTAGGAGCTCAGAGGGGAGGTGATGAGCAACAAATTCAGGCAGCAGCAGGGCTGCACGTGGGGAGCAGAGAAAAAGTGGCATGGAAAGCTGTCGGGGGTTGTTGACTGGTGGGATGATGGCGGATCCAAGATGACTCCCCAGGTTCTAGCATGAACAACCGTGCCATCTGCTGAGGTGTTTGCAGGGAATGGAGATGAGGAGGGATGTGTTTCTTTTGCAGTATGTAACAATGACGGCAGATGGAGATTTGCAAGAAAACAGCCGGAGATTAAGGTCTGAGAATTATCATATGTGGAGGGTAGCTGAAACCAAAGGTGTAGATGAGATCTCTGTCCAGAAAATGTAGAGAGCGAACAGAAGACTGGCAACCAAACCTTGAGGAAGAGCAGCTTTTGAGGAGGGGGCAGAATGTGAGGACTAATCATTTGTAATTAAGCCGCAGAAACAAACAGAAGCGCTAGCCATCTTCTTTCTGTCTAGCCTGAAGCAGAGTCCTACTAAACCATAAAGAAAGCAACGTGAAGGGAGAGCACTAATAAAGATGAAATGATGTGAACCACGAGTTACATAAAAGAGAATGAAGCAAGAACCAAGAAAGCAGTTATTGATGGGTCCTTGGTTTGTTAATTAGAGGTCTGGCTTTCTCTGTCTTCTCATTTACTACATTACGCTGGTGAATTAATAGATTTCTCAACAAAAGGACATTTAAATCAACGTATGACACCGGCTTAAGTTCTTAAGAAGCCATTAATTACACATTCTTAAGAAAATGAGCGATGACACAACTCTTCTAACTGTATAATTCCTATCTGTGATTCTTAATCAGGCGACTTTTCAGCTGGAAGACAGATCTTTTCTATTCATCTCCTCTGGTTCTGACCAATTAAACGTTTTCTTTCATAATCATAACATTTCACATGCCAAATCTTCAAAAGAAAAGGAGCTTGTTAGCAACATACCATTTCCTGTTTGCTAATTTATGCTGAATTTGAATTCTTAAAAGTATAACATACACATGTAGAACATTATTAACCCATCCAGGCTTAGTTTTTAAAAAAGCAATTTTTTTTGGCTTGACTTTGTGCAAAGTTTTTAGAACAATTCTTTTTTTTTAAAAAACTTCACCAATTAATAAATCTATTCCTGTAAATTGAGGTTAAATTACACAGACAGAAAATACATGTATATATTATAAGGGTGTGTAAGTTTGTTCAGAAGGAATCATTATTTTCTAAAGGAATTAGAATGTCTATATAGACAGACTTTTGGTGTTTTATAGCTTGACTCATGTTCAACATTTACTGACAGCATATATCTTCAAGTCATTTACTTCGCAACCACCCAGTAGCCACTCTCGATTTCTTTTCCAGAAACCAACCATTCCCAAACATCAAAGCTTGCATTTTCTGCATTGAAGATTTCTGAGCCCAATCCAGGGGCAGAGCTGGGGACCAGTGGTCTGGTTCCCAGTCAGCCACTCAGCCTAAAATTCAATAATCCTAACCTGGCTAGGCCTATCTCTCAGAGCTGCTCACTAAGCAGGGGCAAATCATGAGTTTATGGCACTCGCCAGGCATGATGGCTCACGCCTGTAATCCCAGCACTTTGGGAGGCTGAGGCATGCGGATCACCTGAGGTCAGGAGTTCAAGACCAGCCTGGCCAACATGGTGAAACCCTGTCTCTACGGAAAACACAAAAAATTAGCCGGGCGTGGTGGCACAAGCCTATAATCCCAGCCACTCAGGAGGCTGAGGCATGAGAATCACTTGAACCCCGGAGATGGAGGTTGCAGTGAGCTGAGATCACGCCACTGCATTCCAGCCTGGGGGATAGAATGAGACTCTGTCTCAAAAAAACAAAAAACAAAAAACAAAAAACACACAACTACTTATAGGAAGCAACCACTTCATTGTCTACCACTATTCGATGCAGATCTGTATCAAAGGGCAGCTTTCTTTTATTCTTAGTTATCACCTTTTAGTTGGACCCTATTATTCCCTGTCCTCCAAAAGAAGTCTGGAAACAAACCATCAGTTGGTCTAATGTAATATATTATGGTCTTTTGGGAGATGCGAGTCACTGATTGTTTTGTCCAATGAATCAATAATATCTGGGAGCCTGCAAAACTGGGGGCTGGAGTTAGTGTCCCTCATCTAGTCCTTCATCTGGGATAGGGTGGAGTCTTTAATCATCACATCCTGTTGTCAGTCACCTGGGAGCACTGGGGTAGCAAGGCTCATGGCATGGGGCCAGACATTTCTCAAGCACCCAGCAGGGGGAACATAGCTGGGTAGGAAGCTTGCCTGTCTCCATTGTAGACATTGCTTGCTCATCACACACTGAAAAGAGCCCTTACAGCTTCCTGCCTCCACTCAATTTGACCCAATCCCACCTACCATCTCCAGACCTCAGCATCTCATAGGGTATTGGCACAAAGACAAGACACCTATGTTTCTTTTTTGCAAAATCAAAATCTGCCCAAGGCCAAATGGACTCTTCACATACCGGTCCTCTCAAGAATGAAAAGCTTTTCATGCATAAATGTAGGGCCGCCCCTGCATTCGTCCTGAGAACACAGCCAGGAAACAGGAATTGGAGAGCGCAAGAAAGCTCCTCTCTCCATTCGATTATGTTCATCCTCTGAAGGCCAACGACGAAAGCAGCCACAGGTGCAGACACTCCATGAAAGAGGTAAACAGGCCCACAACCATTCTCAACCTTTTTTCTCTCTCATACCTGATCTCCTTGCAGCGTGTGCTGGTCAAGGGGTGTCTTGGTGGCAATATTGCTGTAGTAGGCATACGACAGTTCCCAGTCCAGGGGGTAGTTGTCAATACCCTGGTAGTGTTTGTACCCAAGATTCATTGACGACAGCCTCTCACTCCCCTGGCCTCCAACCAAACTATACAACATGCCCTGTTAGGAAGAAATTTACAAAGTGTTCATGAGATTGTAGATAGGGTCATAAAATCCTAACACTGAGAGGTCATCAGGCCCAATTCCTATATACAATCCTAGCCATTCCAGAAAGATGTTAACTTGCCTTTTTTTTTTTTTTTTTGAGACAGAGTCTCGCTCTGTCGCCCAGGATGGAGTGCAGTGGCACAGTCTCGGCTCACTGCCAGCTCTGCCTCCCGAGTTCACGCCATTCTTCTGCCTCAGCCTCCCGAGTAGCTGAAACTACAGGCACACACCACCATGCCCAGCTAATTTTTTGTATTTTTAGTAGAGACAGGGTTTCACCGTGTTAGTCAGGATGGTCTCGATCTCCTGACCTCATGATCCACCTGCCTCGGTCTCTCAAAGTGCTGGGATTTAACTTGCCTTTTTAAAAAAATAATAAAATGAAATGAATCTTTAGGAAAAAAGTCAATCCAGCTTTCTATTGGTTTACAAATTTCCAGCTAGCTGCCCTTCCTAACGTTAAACAGCTTAAAACGCCCTGACTTTTGCCTCTTCCTGGTACAAACAGGGATCTTTCGTGACTTCTATTGTAGCACTATTTTGGGCACCAACCAACTGTCCTAAGTCCCCTGTTCTGTTTCAGCGATGTCATTGACGGACACACAGGGTCTGGATGGCAGGCCCATGTCCCATCCTCACACTCTCAGAATGTTTGTGCTGGAAGGGTCTTTGGAGATTGACTGGTCTGACCACCTCATTTCATAGGAAAAGAGGGGCCCAGAAAGGGGAAGTCGATTGTCCATGGTCAACCAGCCACTTTGTGGCAGAGATGGGACTAGACTGTTCTCATTATTCCACCCTTGTGGGGACTGCTTCTGGGGCTCAGGAAAACATGCTGTCATTCAGGAGCATCTGTAAGCCAGAGGTATCATAAGCAAATCACTGGAAGGGAACATGGAACCATTTGGGCATATCTCAACAGTCTGAGCCTCCCTAACCACGGATACACAATCACCTATGCAAATCTGAAAACGACAAGCAATCAGGGAACATTTAGCAGTACTTATTGCGATGGTTCATTTTGTGTGTCAACTCGACTGTGCCATCGGGTACCCAGATGAAACATCATTTCTGGATGTGTCTGCGAGAGTGTTTCCGGATGAGATGAATATTTGAACTGGTGAGGTGAACTACGCAGACAGCCCTCTCCACTGTGAGTGGGCATCATCCAATCTCTTGAGGGCCTCCATAGGACAAAAAGGCAGAGGAAAGAGAAATTGGTCCCTTTTTGCTCTCTGCCTGCCTGACTGCCTACTTGAGGCGGGAAGACATCATGTGTTTTTTTGTTTTGTTTTGTTTTGTTTTCCTGCCCTTGGACTGGAATTTATGGCATCATCTCTCCTGAGTCTCAGGCCTTCAGGCTTAGTCTGGAATTACACTACTGGCTTTCCTGGCCCTCAGCGTTCAGACGGCAGACCGTGGGACTTCTCAGCCTCCATAATTGCACGAGCCAATTCTTCGTAAGAAACCTCTTCCTATATATATCTAATCCCATTGGTTCCGTTTCACTGGAGAACCCTGACTAATGCACTATGAAAATGTAATTCTAAATGTTAGGCAAGTTGCATCATAAATTTGGATTCAAAACCAGAAATGAAGCCGTCTGGTATGGCGTTTATTTTGATGACAGACTGCTGGAGGCAGCAATACTTCGCTTCAAGGTCCAAGTGACTTCACTTAGCTAAAAAGTGATGTGGGATAGTGGATAACGGTCTCCCAGCCAGAGTAATTAAAAGAATTTGGTAAGAAGCACCTGTTCTTGAAGAACTGGGGTTCTGGCAAGCCCTGACACTGTTCCTTAGCTGGTACACCAATCATCCCCTCAAGGCCTTGTCTAGAAATGGATGAAGTGCCCTTTTTCACTCACTGAAAGGAAAGGATCCTGTATTTAACACAGCCCCAGGACATTTATCTTGAGTGTAAAGATTTTTAAAGGACTCCAAGGAGCTGCAACATGTCCAGTTCTACCAGGGGCATGAGCGCATTGCGCTGCAAATATAACGCAGGTGACTGATGTTAATGGAGCAATGAAAGACTCTACCTGCAGCTGATCCCGAGGAACATTTAATCCAGTCTCATAAAAGACTGCGAGGTAGTAGGATGCTTTATGGTATCCACAGCAGCTGGAATCCATCAGAAAGGGGACGACAGAGCTAATTTGGTGAAGACCATCAACGCTAGAGAGTCTCTTTACAGCCTTCTCAAATATCTTCCCACCGATTTCTAATACAGATTCATTCTGGTTCCTTGGCACTGTAAATAACACAATTCAGAGCACACACAATTAATTACCATGGGATCGACATGGCTTTAGAAAAAGAGGAAAAGCCAATTAAAGCACCTGAGTTATTGATATGGTCGGTCCTGCAGTGCCTCAAAATATACCACCTTCTAGGGAGGTAAATTAAACTCTTTGGGGATACCATGGTGTCATTCTGTAAATAGCTTTTCTTTGGCACTAAATGACAGCCTAGTATCCTGGGGAAATGATGTGCTGTATGTAGCTCAGAAATTGCCTCAAGAGAGTAATTTCCTCAGTGTAACTCATCACCAAACCAGGACCACTGAAACTTCCAGAGAGACTTTTTCCCCCTCTAAGACTCCCTAAAGAAGATTGTGTTTTGGCCGGGCGCGGTGGCTCAAACCTGTAATCCCAGCACTTTGGGAGGCCGAGACGGGCAGATCACGAGGTCAGGAGATCGAGACCATCCTGGCTAACACGGTGAAACCCCGTCTCTACTAAAAAATACAAAAAAAAACTAGCCGGGCGAGGTGGCGGGCGCCTGTAGTCCCAGCTACTCGGGAGGCTGAGGCAGGAGAATGGCGTAAACCCGGGAGGCAGAGCTTGCAGTGAGCTGAGATCCGGCCACTGCACTCCAGCCTGGGCGACAGAGCGAGACTCCGTCTCAAAAAAAAAAAAAAAAGAAGATTGTGTTTTATCTCACAAACAGTTCCTAGGCACTGCTCTAAAAAGTTGAGCAAAAGAACCTTATATTTAGATGCTTTCTAGACATCTTTTGTCCCCAGTTTTTCTCATGGGTCTCCAAATAAAAAGAATGTGTCAACTTTTACTGAGAGCTTACAGCAGGCCAAGTACTGGGTTAAGTGTCTCATGTAAATTATGTCATTTAATTGGTACACTTTTGTAAGGTCGGTACTATTTCCAGCATCCCCATTTTTCACATGAAGAGACTGAGGCCTGGAGAAGAATAACTTGTCTAAAGTTACAAAGGCTGGCAAGAGGCAGAGCCAGTCTGTGAGACCCACTTTGAAGGTCACTAAAGCCAGAGTTCACAGTCACCCTGACGCACGTACCCTCAATGAACAGTCAGTCAGTTGCCTTAATAGGTACCTTACCACGCGGATAGAAACTTGTTTACACAACTGCTATATGATGCTTCCTTTTACATAATTCTCCCACAAATCCATAAGCTGATCATCATTTAAGCCCAAACAAGCAAGTTTTATGGCCCTAGATGTCCTGTTAGAGTCTTCTAAAGTCTATCTTCATTATTCACATCTCTTGTTAATTCAGCCAACGAATGTTTACTTTCTATTATGTGCAAAGCACTATGCTAGATGCTATGTTACAAAAGGCCATATAGGATTACAAAGATACTATTTACGTTTAACTTAAGACTTAACTTTTAACTGAAGACTCACATTTAACTTAGGATGTGAGTTAAATGTAAATGTACATGTAAATAATGTTGATTTAAATGTTAAGTTAAATGTCAACTTGACTAAAATTTCACCTGCCTAAAAACTATGTCCAACATTTTTCTTTCTTTCTTCATTCCATCAAAAATCAAAATGTTATTTTTTTTAAAGCTCAGGAGGCAATGAGAGAGACTCACTCTTATCAGTCCTTCATCAGGATTGAACAGAGAAGAGTCTCCAATGTGGGAAGGTTGGGGATGGGTTTACTGAAGGGCGATTTCCTTGCAGAGGGCCATGCTAAAAATGGAAGTCGAGATCAGAAGGACCCACAGATGACATTGTGAATGCTGACACTTCGTCAATGAGTGGGTACTGGTGCCTGGGGACAAATGAGTGGGTTGGGTGTCCCTGAGAGGGGGACACTGTGCCTGTGCTTGCAGACCCTGAGCTGTGGGGAAGGATGCAGCCACCACCTCCACCAGCTCTAAGGCATCCTCTAACTACTGGCTCCTGGAACTCCTTCCTGCCTACCTCCTGCCTCTGCTTTTGCTTTTTTGATCCCAAGTACCTGGCACAGTAGGTGCTGAAAAAATTCACTTTACTGAACGAATGGAGTTTGTTCCTTTTTCTGTATTTTTTTAAAACTCCCCAGAGAAATAACAGCTTGTTGTTAAAAAAAAAACAAAACCAAACAATGCAGATTTGTATAAAATAAAAACAGAAATCCCCTCTCCCTCAGTCTTTCTTTAATAATGAAGATTAAAAACTATTAAAAGCTTGGTATGTAGGCTTTGAGACTTTTCTTTCATATATACAACAATTCACATCCACATCTATTTACATATCTACATACACATTTTCTTTACCAAAATGGCGTATTATGCCATTGTAGATTCTGACTCTCGACTTTCTTTTTTAAATTAACTACACATTATGAATAACTCCCTGGGGCTGTCAGAAGCTCATTCTTTCTAATGCTTCAGTAGTATTGCATTCCATAGCTGTACCATTTTCCCTACCAGGTCTCTATTTTTAGACTCCTGGGTTGTTTCCAGTGGTTTTGCTATAACCAACAACGTGGCATTGAACATCCTCGAACAATTCCATTTCCCTCTGCTAATCTGTTAGGATGACATCTGCATGATAACACCCTTTTTCACCAGCAGCCTGCGAAATCTTGTCTTGGATTTTCCCTTTGCATAGTTGAGAGAAGGCCCTTCTACCCAGTCTTTAGCTGTGATAAGAACCTGGAATACACTGAATTCAGTAGACACTGTAGCACTCAGAGTTGCAAAATAAATTCCACTGCCACTTATTCATGCGTTTACTTTTAACTATGTGCTCCTCTTGGATGCCCCTCTGCACATTCCCAGCAAAGCAACATTAACGTTTGTTAACGATTCATCCCTGCCTCACCTACTCTGCCAAATGCCTAACTAAGATGATGAGTTTTGCCAGAGTACCCATGGACCCGTACTTTGTAGGCTCAGAGGAGGAAGAGACTCCAAACCAAATGAAGCTTCGAATGAAACACTTGCCCTGCCAACCGCTGGCACAGAACCCCAGAAATCATTAGCAGGAGCGCCCAGGTAGCTGAGATTGCTGGAGAATAAGGAGCAAAAAGGGAATCCTTCACAAAGCTCAAATCTTTAGCACAAAAAAACTTTGCAGATTGAAACACAGGCAGTTTGAAAGGCTGTGTTATTTCTTTTGTACATGAAATGCAAAACTGCCCCCGAAATATAACCAGAGTATTTTCCCTGAAAAAGAATCTAAATAATTTTCTGCAGTAGTAAATACAATAAAAAAATAATAATCCTAAGGTAAAACTGCTCATTTTGCACATTTGGTAAACTTTGAATTCCAACTGTTGCTCAAAAGCAAAGGCATATTGTCTTGGGTGATATTGTGTAACTGGTTATTTTAAAGTCAGTTTAATGAAACTGTTAATTTCACCCATCTGGCTTAGCATATACATTTTTTTCTAGTCAATCTGTAACTAAAAACATGCCTTGTTTATGGAGATTAATGGTTTAACGAAGAAACAAACAAACAAAATAGAAGAAGCTGTTTTCCCATTTTCTTTCTTTCAGCACCCAAAGCTAAGAAACAAAAGCCACCACCACCATTAATTACCCCTTACTATTTTCCATGTAGCCCAGAATCGTTTCTTTTGCTTTTTTCCCCCGTTTTCACAGTAATACCATAAGGTCACCGTTTGTGTGCCTATCTTTAGAATAGACAGAAAGCAGAACATGAGAAGGTGGCTACTTGCTGAAGGCCCCGGAGCTGGGACCAGCGTCTGTTTGAGAATTCAGGAGGAGAAAGGCACCTCATTCCTTGTGAGAGGAATGGAGACATCCATAGGAAAGTCATTTTTAGTTTCAAGCTTCTGAAAGGTGTAATGCATCCAAAGCAGAAGTTTGAAAGGGGAAAAAAAGGAAAGGACAAAATGTCACTTAACTATTAAAAGGAATGATCTACACCAAGTTGACTGGTTTGTAAAAACACAGGGCATTCCTCATTTGCACTCTGACCTGGAGATCCTTATTGGGCTCACGGGCTGTTTTATTTTTCTCTTTCAAAAAAAGCCTATTTGGGCCAGGCGCGGTGGCTCACACCTCTAATCCCAGTACTTTGGGAGGCTGAGGCAGGCGGATCATGAGATCAGGAAATCCAGACCATCCTGGCTAACACGGTGAAATCCCTATCTCTATTACAAATACAAAAAAAAATTTAGCAGGGTGTAGTGGCAAGTGCCTGTAGTCTCAGCTACTCGGGAGGCTGAGGCAGGAGAATGGCGTGAACCTGGGAGGTGGAGCTTGCAGTGAGCCAAGATTGTGCCACTGCACTCCAGCCTAGGTGACAGAGTGAGACTGTTTCAAAAAAAAAAAAAAAAAAAAAAAGCCTATTTGTATCTTTCTATATACTGTGTAAATTTTCTTTTCTTTCTTCTTTTTAATTTTATTTTATTGAGACAGAATCTTGCTCTGTCACTCAGACTGGAGTGCAGTGGCATGATCTTGGCTCACTGCAACTTCCACCTCCCGGGTTCAAGCAATTCTCCTGCCTCAGCTTCCAAAGTAGCTGGGATTACAGGGATGCACACCACACCTGGCTAATTTTTTTTTTTTTTTTTTTTTTTTTTGGTAGAGAGAGGGTTTTGCCATGTTGGCCAGGCTGGTCTCGAACTCCTGGCCTCAAGCAATCCACCCACTTCTGCCTACCAAAGTGCTGGGATTACAGGCATGAGCTACAGCGCCCAGCCTTTTTTTTTTTTTTAAATAGAGACAGGGCTTTGCTATGTTACTCAGGCTGGTCTTGAACTCCTAGTCTCAAGTGATCCTCCTGCATTGGCCTCCCAAATGGCTGGAATTACAGGTATAAGCCTCTGCTCCCGACCCCTTATAAATTTTCTGATTTTACACATGTCATTTTCCTCCCTGTCTTCTTCCTTTCCTTCCCTCCTTCCTCCATCTCTCCCTCTCTCTCTCTGTCTCTCTCTCTCTCCTTTTAGAGCTGTTATTCTCTGAGCAAGAAAAGCATAGCCCATTGTTTGTCTTCTTGGTGTCTCTGTGTATTTTTTTTTTTTT